GAAAGAAAATGATGATGGCAACAAATGTACAAATGTGCTTGATACAATGGATACATGTAGGGATTGTGGTAAGAGCTGATGAGCCCCCACCCCAATAAAATGATTAACCCCCCCAAAAAATGCAGCCCATGTAATGATTTGTATTTATAATCACTATTTATTGAAGCATTAAAATATAACATGTCACAATTAAATAGTATTTAATCATCTAGTTAACGAACATTCACAAATGCACTTACTTGTAATAGTGTTCCCAGAGATTTCTGTATCTTCCTTGACCTGACATATCAAACACTGTAAAAGACAAACTACGAAGAGCAAAGATATAAATAAAATGACCATATTGTACATCACTAACTTAAAGTACAACTTTAAAATAAAGACTCAGTTGTTTTTAATGGAAGAAAATCATTCTTAATTACAAAATTTCAAATTATACCATTTCTCAAGTTAAAAACTTCAAATATGAATTTAGTGAAAATAAACATAAATTTTCAATAAATAACATATAAAAATATATTCTATTTTGCTAGCAATGTTATCAGATTGTCTAAACAAGTGTCTCTCAATGGGGGTGATGCTACCCACTACGGGGCACTGGGACTGATCCAGGAGGACTAGAGAAACATGTACCGACGCTTAATCCCAGATTAGGGTTGAGACTACAAAATGTTTTTAATTGCCAGGAGTGCTGAGAAGTTTTTTGTTTCGTTTTTTTTCTGAAAAGGAGACGGTCAGGCAAACATATTTGGGTGCATATGGTCTAAAACCCAGATTCTGAGAAATAATCCAGAGGTCACTGTTAAAATTATTATTATATTAATGACTATAGGTTTGTGAATGAAAAATTTTTTTTCTAAGAATTAAGATCTAATATCGTCATTTTTCACTGATAGCTTCTTTTCACCCCTCCTTAAATTATAAATTTTATTTTCAGGTTAAAAAAACACACACAAAAAGATTTACGTAATAATCACCAAGGTTCCCATTACCCAGAACTGACAATTAGTATTTAGTTGTATTTCCTCAAGGAAAAAAATTTTTAAAGACTCATCACCATTTTTCTAGTGTCAAGTGATACAATGATTCAATGAAGCAAACAGATAATCCTTATCTTCTTGAAGCACACATTCTAAAGGGGATACTGATAATTATATACATTTATATATAAATACACATGATATATATTGATATGTGACTGTCTACCCACTGAAAAATAAAACACAAACAAACGAAACCAAAAAACCAAACTCACTGTTATTAAATCAATCTTGACTCATAGCAACCCTATAGGGCAGGGCAAAAATGCCTCTGTGGATTTCTGAGACTGAGACTCTTCATAGGAAAGTCTCATCTTTGTCCTGCAGAGTGGCTTGTAGTTTTGAACTGCTGACCTGTGGTTAGCAGCCCAGTGAGTAACCCACTATGCCATCAGGGCTCCTCTAAATTCCAGGGGGCTTCAAAAATAGTCCATTATTTTTTAATTCCATTTTCCCCACAAAATTTTTGAAGCCCCCATTTACCTCTCCAGTTCACAGATGTTCCCATAATCATTTAGTCTCTGAAACGCTCTATCGGGTAGCTGTGAGTCCGAACTGATTCTATTAGTGGGTTTGATCACATATCTTTATACAGGACTCAACTAGAGAGCAAGGGAAAAACGTTTAAAATGAAAGCAGTCACTCATAGCTTCTTCATCGAAATACACTGCTTCTGTTGGTACTGTCAAGTTAATTCTGAAATATAGTGGCCTCATATGACAAGAGTATAAACTCCCTATAGGGTTTTCTTAACTGTAATCTTACGGATGAAGATGACCAGGCCTTTCTTCCATAGAGTAGTGGAGTAGGTTGTAAATGCCAACCTTCTAGTAAGTAGGTGAGCGCTAATCAAAGTATAAACAAAGTGAATTACCTGGATGATCTGAATTTTTCAATGTTGAATCCTATTGTTGGAACTATATCTTGAGACTGAGCCTTTAAGAAAAAGACAAGTTTGGAAAGTTGCAATTGATAAAGATGAATTTTCCCTCAGATTAAAGAAAAAAATGCATCCTTTCTATTTTTAAATCTGTCACTAAGATTAAGCAAAATTATAATTTTCAAAATGGGCTTGCTGTATATTTTTTATAGAAGTTTAAGCTTTACTGATTGTGAATCTGCAAAATGGATATGCCTTAATTCATATTTTATGGGTTGATGTTGTCCAGGACTTAAAGAAGTATTTTAATAAGTCACCTGAGTTCACATATAGACTTTTCTAATCTTACAACACACATATTTAATGAGTTTTTATATGCTAGGGATTGTCCTCATGTTTAGATGGTAAACAAACCAGACAAGATCTCTGCTTTCATGAAGCTGGTGGCAGGTGAGTGAAAGGTTCTTGGGGTTGGGAGGTAGTAGGGCAGATGATAATTGGTAGGATAGCTTTGAAGAAGGGTATCCAAGAAAGGCTTCTTTGAAGGGGATATTTCTGACCCAGGAGTAAATGACAAGAAGGGAAAAACCCTGACAACATCTTGGCAAAAAACATTTCAGTCAGAAATGTCAGATGGTGCAAAGGCCTGAGGCAAGCTGGCCTCTCTGGTAAATCAGTACCTAGTAAGAGAAGGTTCAGTAAGTAGCGGGATAAGAGAGGTAGGGTTTTGTAGGCCATAGCAGAGAATTCTGTGCGAAGAAGAGATTGAAAACAGGGGCAATTGTTAAGCAGAATCTGCTGATGGGATCCAAGGAAACTAAAATGCATCATCCCAGTAAAATGAACTCATTAAATGTATCAGTTGGGCACGTAATCGGGAGAGATTAGTCAGTCCCTAGAAGAGGACATCACGCTTGCTAAAGAACAAGGTCAGCGAGAAAGAGGAAGACCTCAACTAGCTGGACTGGCAGTGGCTGCAACAATGAGCTCAAACATAACAATTGTGAGGATGGCGCAGGACCCGGGAGTGTTTCCTTCTGCTGTGCACGGGGTTGCTCTGAACTAGAATCAATTGGAGAGCACATAACAACAGTATTTCTATCACCAAAACTGTTCTTCTTTATCAATAAGAGTTCATCCACTTTGATTTAGTCCTAGAAGTTGTTCTCAACTTTCTCCTTTTCTACACTCAATATACATATTCATCCTTTAAGCTTCATTGGTTTGATCCAAGTTCAGGCATGTCTTATTTCTTGTTTTGAAATACTACAACAGTTTCCTAACTGCTACCTTGGGTAAATTACTTAATTCCTCCAGGTCTTAGTTTTCTCAAATGTGAAATACATTATTATTATCCTTAACTCTTCAAGTAATCATGAGAGTTATTTAAATGAGTTAATTGATGCAACGTATCCAAGGTGCTGCCGGATGGTGTCGTATGCCTTCAAGGCACAAGAAAAAGTATGAGGATGGTGCCGGACTGGGAAGTGTTTCAGGCTGTTATGCACACAGGGTCATTATTGGTTGGAAGTAACTCCATGGCACCTAGCAACAATAACAACAACTATTTTATTGTCTCCCACACCTCAGTGCTTGGGGGCTTTATGCATAATTATGTAAATTGTTACAAAATTTATTTTAGGGCCTTTGTGCATAAATTATAGAATATAATGGTCACAGTATTCGGAAAAACATACCAATAAAAAAATGTGATAAAGTTAAAAGCTTGAAGAAATTTCAGCAAACATGTAAATCAAAAGTTATTTCGGTGGAGCTCCAAAGCCCATCTGTAGACCATGGGACATCCCATCGCAGAGAACTCACAGTGAAGGGATGAGTCAATCAGGGTGCAGCAAAGCACCTATGAAACATACAATACTCCTCTGGTTCCTTGAGGCTTCCTCACCCTCCACCATCATGACCGAAGTACTTCCTTTCACTGTGGGCTAGACATGAGCATGTGCACAGGTACAGATAAGACAAAAAAGCTCAAGACACACAGAGTCCAGGAACAGCAATGGGGGAAACCAATCACCATGATAGCCACATAACTGAAACACCCCTCCACTATGAACAGAAACAGGGGGGAGGGTGTGAGGGAGACAACGGTCAGTGTAAGATATGAAAATAATTATAATTTATAAAGGGACCATGAGGGTGTGGGGCGGGGAGAAGAGAAGCTGACACCAAGGGCTCAATAGAAAATAAATGTCTAGAAAAGAGTGAGGGCAACATATGTACAAATATGCTTGATACAATTGATGTATGGATTGTTACAAGAGCTGTAACAGTCCTCAATAAAATGCTTTAAGAAATAGTATTTCAGTCTTCATTGAATTATAAGTAGCATATCCTTCCAGCCTCCCCAGAGTCACCCCTAGGCTTTCCACAAGCTGGTTTGGTTTCCAGAGAAGTTATTCTATTTGCACAGAGGATGAATGAAATTCGGCAACTTTTTTTGGTCCCCTCTCACTTCTCAAGTCCTACTTAAAGTTCATGAGAAAAGAGAAACTTCATAAGTTAGAACAGATATGTGGGCGAATGCTCCCAGATACATATAGGATCAACTTTCTTCTAAAGAAAACCAAAAGCAAGTGTCCAGTATTAATCTCTCACAACTGTATTCAGGTACAAAAACATTTGATCCTTTTCAGAAATAGATGATCAGGAGTAGTGTAAAGCAAAGAAGACGTCGTGTAGGAATTATTTCCTAAGTAGAGCAGACATCTATGACAGCCCAGAAATAGACCAACAAGAACTGAAAAGAATTTGAGACACACTCTATTTGGAACAAGATTTCAGTAAGAGACCATGTATTATATTATTTGATGCCATCAGTTATCTTGTTGGGCAAGATGCTACATTTTGGCTGATATAAAAATCTTATAATCATCTAGGTCAGGAGACAGTCTCCAATATAGTGTGGTTTTTTTAACCTATTCCTTACTCAGGAGGGATTTTTTTCCAGTTCTATATAAAGATAATTCTATCACACTGCCTCCTCCGCTCTGGCCCGTTTTCTGACTGCTCAGTTTTTGAGAGGGAGCTAAGCATCCTTGGCTCAACTCCTCCCACCAGCTTTCATTTAAGAGCCAGCTGCTTATGGGAGGCATGCACTCTCATCTGCTCTTAGTCATGTAGTGAACCTGCACAAGTAGAGTAGGTTCTTCCTGAAGGAAAGAAGCTTAAAAGTTTGGAAAATCTCAATTCAAGAGAGTGTTAGCAAGTCCTCTGATCAGATCTAAGCACTCTTCAATATCAGCTTTTTTAAGAATAAAGCTGCTTTTCTTTTTTTCTTCTTCTTTTAAATTCTGTTTGTCAGCGGCTTTTTTCTTTGTTAGCATGTCGGTGTTGCTGCCGTCATCATCACCATGTTGTTATGTGCCACTATGGTGCTGTCAAAGCCAACCCCGATTTTATGCACATATGAATATATCTGCAGGTCCACCTGGATAAGATAGGCTGGACAAACAATGTGAGAAGAAAATAACGGGACCAACGGTCCTGGAGGGACATGAGTGTGGGAGGTAGGGGAAGGGAGGAGGTGTTGGCCAGCCCAGGGACAGGGGAACAACAAGTGGTTCAAAACCAGTGGCAGAGAGGGGGTGGGAGGACTGGTAGGGAGTGACCAAGGGCAAAGTAACTGAGAGGAATTACTGAAACCAGAATGAAGGCTGAACATGGTAGTGGAACAGGAGGAAAGCGTGAGGAAATAGAAGAAAGGAGTAGGAGGCAAAGGGCATACATAGAAGCCTAAATACAGACATGTACATATGAAAATATATTTATGATTATGGGGGGAATAGACCTATGTGCATAGGTCTATTTATAGGTTTTTTTAGTATTTATAGGTTTAGTAGTAGGGTAGCAGGTGGACATTGGGTTCATGAGGGGGGGTGGGGAGGGCAGGGGAGAGGAAAAAGGAAAATGAGTAGCTGATTCCAGGAACCCAAGCAGAAAGCGAATTTTAAGAATGATGAGGGGAACAAATGTATGTGTGCGGTGCACAATTGATGTATGTATGGATTGTGATAAGAGTTGTATGAGCCCCAATAAAATGATTAAAAAATAATAATAAAGCTGCTATTACAGGTGTAAAAACCTGTCTGACTTCAGCATGTATTTCAGTTGAGCCCCGACTCAGTTGGAGAGCCCCTTAAAATGCCTAGATTAGCTTCCAAATCCATTTTCAGTTTCTTATCCCAGCTGCCTCAAATTAACTCCCTTCTGAAAATACACAGGCACTTAGACATTTTTGCATGGAACATTCCTGTCAGTGCAGAGCATCATGACAGTGAGACAAGAAAGAGCGCAATTTTTGTAATCCCAAAGCAATCTTCACCTGAATAGAAGTAAAACAAGCTGTCCCCAAAGAAACTCGAGTTCTACAGATTCTCTACACTCCACTATTTAAAGGTATTGAAGGCTATTTACCTTTAACTACCATACAATATAGCCTCCCCTCACCCCCCTCATTTTCAGTCATTCAACCATCTGCAATTTCACCGCCTCCATATTTTCTGTAGCTATGAGCTGAAATCAATTTGGGTTTGTTTTTATCTCCTTTTAGGTATACCATCTAGATTATTGCTCAACATGTATTATTAGTTGGCTATTAGTTTTAGCCTAAATAAAGGTGCTTATCAATGATGGGAATTATTAGTTGCCTACTCACTAACCACTCTCCCTTCATTCCATACTTTAGGATTTCTGTTTTTGGAAGAATCCCTGGGTAGTGCCAAAGAGTTCATGGTACTTGGTTTCTACCTGAAAGGTTGGAGGTAGAGGCTGGTAAACTACCATATACTATACTCGAGTATAAGCCAAGTTTTTTCAGCACATTTTTTATGCTGAAAAATCCCCCCAGTTTCTGTGGTAAAATTAGGTGCCTTGGCTTATATGAGAGTATATATGGTACTTTTGAAAATTCAACCACTTAAAGCACTGGAACTCTGTGTATTCTCATACATACAGTCTATTATATTGAGCTGGAATCACGTTGACAGCAACTAGTTACTGGTTCTATTTTCGAAAGCAGCAATATGGTGTTGTCAGGGAAAATCAGTCGTAGGTGCCAACAGGGGTAATCAGCGAGGTACATAAAGTGGCGCTACAGGGAAAGTCTCTAAAGAGGGCTCACTTAGTAGGAAGGCCTATCCTTTTACTCTTTTCTTTTCCCCTTCCTGCCACTTAGATTACAGGTGTAATGATCAACTACAGTGACTATGCAGACATTTACAGCCTCAGAAACCCTGTACAGTATGGTTATGAGTTTGAATGAATTTGATGGCAGAAGAGATTTTTAAAATAAGATTTTTAAAAATCTTATTTAGGTTACTGTTATGTAGCATAACCTAATTGTAGCTTATGTGTTAAAGGTGCTAACTTTGCTAACTACTGCTAAGCATACCACACTTGGAGGGGAAAATGTTTAAGAGATACATTATTCATAGACTCGATGAAGAGGGTCCCCTCTACCTCTGGGAAGAAAGAGTCAGAAAGAAAGCGACACATCCTGAAGGGACACTGGGTAAATTTACGAGCCTTTTGAGGGGAAAGGGCATTTGAAAATGACTTTTCAGTCTAAATAACCAGGATTTATGTGTGTGTTTACCTATTTGTATATATATATATATCCATATTCTATATACATGCATGAAATTAACTGCAAATTATGGTTAACTATACTAATTTAAGGCACTACTCAGCAAACAGGATTTCTTATGATGATGACATGAAGTTACAATACCAAACAAATCACTGCATATTCACTTTGTTTAGAAGAAGAAAATGCAGAAGTAATCTAATAACGATGCTCACATTTGCAGGTTTAAGCTTGTTAATGATAGTTGTTTTGCCACTGTTGTCCAGTCCAAGGCATAACACATGAACCTCTTTCTTCTTCAGGCCCAGCAGGCATGACAGTTTGTCTAGCAATCCCATAACGTGATTCAACTATTAATAAACTAGCTGCAAGTAAGAAAAAAGTAAGATATTATTATGCAAAGGCTCCTAAATATGGAAAACTAAGCATGTAAACTATAAAATGTTTAATAACTTAATGACACATATTAAGGAAACCATGTAGTACACATTGGCACATAGTAGAGAGGATAAGCTGATTATTAGAAAGGCGCTTTAACTGAAATGCAGATTGACAGCTCATACCACCTGGCAAGACAGTATAATGCCCTTGGAATAGCATACATTTTTCATTGTGGTTTGTTTTATTTTAGAAGAAACTGAGGCCATACTCCGTATCATGTGAAGTCCGCAGTTTGTGAGATAAAGAACAAATAGAATTATTTACTGACAACAGGGTTCATGGAAAGCCTGACAATGAAGCTTAGAAAGCAAAAGGCTAACCAGGACAACAGACAAACTGGCATTTTGACTTGATCATTTGAGCTACCGGCTAACTTTACCCAAAGCCAACTATGCTTTTATATTTTGCAATAACATGAAGTAATAAATTCACTGTTGTAAATTTGCTTACTTCTACCCAGTTAGGGTTGGAATTTTTATCAATAGCAGCAAAGCTCCTAACTGAGACGTCCTTATTGCCTGTTGACCCTTACATATATCCTTGTAAGTCACTAAAAATCTACTAAAGAAGAATATCATGCAGAAGCATGCACACAATCTGTTGGAACCATACTACTGGCTTTCATAACTGTAACTTAATCTAAATCAACTGCCCTTGAGTTAGTTTTGATCCACAGCAACCCTATCTACAGGACAATTAAACTGTTCCCTAGGGTTACCAGGATCATAAACTATGAAGCAGCTGGTGGGCTTGAACTGACAACCGTGTGGTTAGTCACTTAATGGCTAGCCCACAGTGTATCTAAAAGCCAAACAAATTCAATACAATCAAGTGATTGCTGACTCATAGTGGCCTTATAGGGCAGGCAATACCCCCATGAGTTTCTGAGACTATAACTTTACTGGAGCTGAAAGACTCGTCTTTCTTTCACCCAAGGAGCAGCTGCAGGTTCTGTGGATGGCGGCCCAATGAATAAGCACTGTGCCACCAGTGTTCCCAGAGTACATGGCGCCTTCGTATTACCAATTCAATGATAGATGTATTATGAACTCAAACATAATACACTGCCTATTATATACTAACATTATGGTGGTTCTCATCCTTCTCAGACAGTTAAATTTAGATTTCAGATCACGAAAGAAAATATTCAAGAGGCTCACTTTGGGTCTACCACCCTCTCCACAAAAAAACCTTACCATGTAGTGGGAGATAACCCTTTGTGAACTGTTACAGCAAGTAACCAGAGCCATGGTGGCACAGTGTGTAAAGATTTGAGCTGTTAACTGCAGGGTCAGCACTTCAAACCCACCAGCCACACCATGGGAGAAAGATAAGGCTTTCCGTTTCCATAAAGATTTTCAGCCTTGGAAAACTGATGGGCTAATTCTCCATCCTATGGGGTACACCAGGAGCCAGAATCGACTTAATGGCAGTGAGTTTTTTTCTTCACAGCAATAATCATAATATATCAGTATTCCAAATATTTCCTACTACTCCCCAAGCTACCGTTTTCAAAGATCTTTACATTGTTTCCATGCAATTTATTTATTCTATTCTCTACCTAAGTTTCAGTAAGCTTGTCAACGTAGTTTCTTTGGTATTTTTATTCCATACCAACCCAGGCAAGGTTGTCAATCAAAGATGTCAAGTTGAAGCAACTTTCAAGAGGCTTTCAAAATAACTTCTGAAAGAAGCTCGCACCTAGACATTCTGCTAAGGTCTCCTGGGAGACAGAAATTCAAAACTGAATTTCAAAAATGTGCACAAGAAAAAGATGCCCAGTGTTTTATCAAGTTTGACCTCAAGTACTTCCATTTTTGCCAAGTGAATCAATTCTCCTCCTAATGGAGATTTAAATAGTCACAGTCTAAATATTTTAAATTTCAGCTTAAGGACCAGCATTTGTAGAGAGTCTAGTGAAATGAACTTTCTGATATTCTGAAACAGTTATAGACCACTTTACTGCAAAGCTATTACTTTGCTATTTATTGTATTACACATTGATACAAATGCTTATATCCTCTTTTTTCACATAATTTCACAGATTTTTTTTTTAACATTTTATTAGGGGCTCATACAACTGTTATCCCAATCCATACACACATCAATTGTGTAAAG